AGGTACATTGTTGTGTTGATTAGTATTTTCCTTTCCTTTAAACAGTTCCGTCAGGTATCTTTCCTATTCGTTTGCTGGTATGTTATTGTATTTGTACTTCATGTAGGCCTCTCGTTTCTCTGTACATTTCTCCTTTATTTCTTTTCTGAACCATGGTGTATTGTTGTTGTTTTTTTGTTCAGTATGACTTGCGTTTTCCTGGAGCTTCTGTTTTCTCCCATCTCACGTTTATATCTTCGATGTCGTCTATTTGTTTCAGCTGTATCTTCTAGGCTAGCCTCCTTTGATACATTTCTCTCGTTTCATGTGATTCTACATTGAATTTTTCCTCGGTGATTTCTTGTAGAAAATGTTTTGGTGTTATTTTCATAATTTTTTCTCTTTTGGCTTTTGTTAAAAGATCGTCAATCACTATCGGCCAAACTTTTACTGCTCTTATATTGATTGACTGATCTCCAATTATATTCCGAATAACGAGCGTGGATTAAATCCATTTGATGGTGAAAGGTAGTGTAGCTTTTTTGTTGCAGCAGCGTTAATGTACTCAAATGAGTTGTGAAGTGAGGTGGATATGTCTGCCCGATAGGCAAATTGGTCTTCGCAAAACTGTAAATTTTCCCTACATTTGTGGAAGAAAGCAGGTTATGCTAGTAGTTCTTTAAGGCTTTTTCACAGTTAGGATTAAAGCAGACCCTCACCTATCAACATTAGATTGAAATATATCCTAAAATTAAACTCAACTTAAATATTTTTAACAGTGTCCTGTTATAGCAGGGCTGGAAAGATAATATCTTCACAGAAGATTAGGACGATAACAGTTGATACCCAATTCAGTTCTATTGTTTTTTTTCATGAATTCAATTTATTTACCAATGTGCTTACCGATTCTTTCTTTCCAGACATTTTGAACATATCCTAATATTAGCTCTTACCAGGAATGGATTTTGAGAAGTTTAATACAATATTCTCCAGTTGTTCACTGGGCGTTCATTTTTTGCCAAAATTCGTGAGTTTTAATGCTATTAACAGCGGACTAACATATTTGTTAGATTTATTTTTACAAATCTACTTTTTTTGGTATTTTTTACAAATAATCAATAATCCCGAAATATAATCAAAATTTTGTGGAGATAATCAAACATAAAACAAGATTTAATTTGAAAATGGCATCTATTGATAAAATAAAATACCTTCGGTTCGTAGAGCTTGTGAAACTAAAATGTGTCTAGTTTTATTAGGTTTAACACTATTGTTATAATATATGACTGTTTTATACTATTGTATTCTATCTGTATACTAGATATATTGCCAATAATAGTTATTGTTAATTATTAGAAGTTTAAGATATGGTTCTATATACAAAACTCTCAGTATTATATATAGTTGTTTTGCCAAATTGTGTTTTATTTACTTAATTAATTTTACACAACTAAGTCAAATATAAATCAATTATGTTGGCCCGTTGATTACTAGACAGCAAAGAAAAAAAGGTTGAGATGCTAGTATCGAGCAAAAAGACAAAAGAGGGAATGTAAAGGTAGAGGGGGCAAAAATATTGTTAGACAGGAAGTGCCATCTTTAGAGGCCACATTAAACAAGGAAAGAGGGTCTCTCTCCTTGTTTGACATCAAATTTAGTTGGGTTATGTTATTGTTTGTCCCAAATGTCACATGAAATCTTATTTATATTGAAGTTTTTTAACAATTGTGTCGCATTTTAGACTATTATCGTTAATAATTAATTAAAACTTTCTCGTCTAAGACACGTTAATAAGTGTCGGAAAATTTAAATTTGGAGCATTAGCATTTCCGGATATGTCCGCCATCAGAGGCCACTTTTTTGGTGTCCTTTTCATAAGGATTAGATTCCCTCTTTTGTCTTTTTGCTCGATGGATGCTAGTTATTCCGCACACCATTCGCCGGCGAAAATTTTCAAGCCTATAGTTCGTTGGAAGATATTTCGAATTTAATCTTCTAGGTGTAGTTGTATACAGGTTTGGACTTAAGTAATACTTTTATATTAAAATATTTAACGTAGTAAAAAAATACAAAAAAATATTAAACTTAACTATCGTCTACATTTAAATCGGTATCACTATCGTTTAAATGTATAAATACTCTATTTATAATGTTTTGGAACTATAAGTATTTTTCTTCTAGTTTTTTACTTGCTCTATAAATTTTTTCCAATTATCTGCTGTAACATTCTCTTGATCTGGAGAATTCCATCCGAATTATCTTGCAACTATCCTAGATCCAAGAAGAGAATGCAATAAAATATAAACACATTGGTAATTTTTAAAGATATTTATTACGAAAATTAGGTTTTATTCGTAGATATACATTCATTTTAATAGAAATGTAACAGTATCACATATTTTTAAAGAAATACATGGTAAGAATTTGAGTAACTTGAGTGGTAAATAAATAGAAAACGTAAAATAACGATATATCTACAATATTTTAACTAAATTAAATAGCATATACTCATCTCATTTATACAATATAAATAAATACTCTAAACTTATCTAAAAGGAATTTGTACGAAAATAAATAGTTCTTAATATAAATAAATACCGACATTACTAAACTAGTACACAATAATTGACAAGCGATGTAAGAGTTCGTGTTTCTTCACAATTATTGTTTTTGGGGCTTTAGATGGATTGATACAACTGTCTACAATTTCATAATCTTAAAACTTGGAAGATGTTTTATATAGGTCTAGAAAACTAAGTCAGTTAAATATTGTGCTCTAGGCATGTGATTGCAAGAAAAGTTTATTTGTAATTTAAATTTGTTGATTTGTATAAAGTTCTTGTAATGAAATTTCAGTGTTTGTAGGTACTCTTCTAGTTAACCCAGGACTATGAAGAGGTGCTGGTAATTTATTTTTACGCAAATTAAACACAAACACTACAAATGAAGAACTTAATATAAATATACAGGGAGTTTGTAACATACGTAAAAAGCTGGAGAAGAGAAAAGCAGCAGGTAAAGACGGGATACCAAACGAATTACTGGAATATTGTGGAGCAGCATTTACAGAACAATTAACAACAATTAAATAAAATTAGAAAACACAATAAAATACCGGAAGAGTGGAGAACGGGCAAACTAATTCTACTATTTAAAAAAAGGGGATAAAAAACAGAAAGAAAACTACTGAGGTAGAAGTCAATTACTGAGAAATCACTGGAGTATAATAGACCAGCATTTCTGTATCTGATTGACTTCAAGAAAGCATTTGACAGAGTAAGATTCAAAGATGTAATCCATCTTTTATATAATAGAGGAGTTTCCCTAATCATAAAATCTATTGAACTCATCTACTCATACAAAAAATGGAAGTCAGAATAGATGGCCAACTTACAGAATCCATAGAAATAGAAGAATAAGACAGGGGACTTGAGCCATATGCTCTTCAATTTAATCATGGATGAAATCATCAAAAGTGTTAACAATGAAAGATACAGAATGGGAATGAAAGAAGTAAAAATACGCTGTTATGCAGACGACGGAATATTGATAGCCCAAGATGAAGATAGAAAATACTTTGGAATTAAACTGTCCAACTAGAGGTCAGAGATGAAGTACAAAAAGCAAATAGACTGGCAGGATGCCTTAATAACACTATATGGCGAAATAGACACATTAACACTGAGATGAAGTCAAGAATGTATAAAGTCAGTGTAAGATCAATAATGGCATATGCCTCAGAAGCAAGACCACAGCACAAAGGCTAATAAAAACGGCAGAGATCAGAGTACTAAGAAGAATTACAAGAAATACGCTGAGAGATCGAAAAAGAAGTAAAGACATTAGAAGAAAATGTAACGTACAGTGTATAAACGAATGGAGACTAAGTAGAAAAAAAGAATGAAATAACCATATAAGCAGAATGAACCTCCATTGAAGTGTTAACCTCCATAGAGGTATTAATCCGCCAATTAATAAGCCAGAATTGCTTATAAAGAGGAAGAAGAAGAAGACAAATTAAACATGCATGACAGCATAAAATTGAGCAATATTACTTATAGAAAATAGAATTGTTTTAATACTGCTTTCTAAATAAGAAACTACAAAACTTTTTATATCAATCTCGTATGTAGCTAAATGTTAACCCATAAAATGATTGCTGAATTGAAGACAGAATTAGTATCACATCCAACTCTCATATCGACGATGACATTTTTATTAAAAATTATTTAGCAGTAGAAACAAAAATGTCAATACTTATATATCCCACCTTCACCTCAAACTTATCGTATACAAGCATTTACATATTGAAGATTATAGATTAGACATAGAAATCAATAATTTGACTATTTTTGGACCTGCTCAAATAATACTTTAATAGGTATACAGCAACTTACTTTTAAAAATTAATGACAAAGCAAATACTAGCAAGGAAGAACCAACTTCGTACATCTTAATATTTTTGAATATTGCCGCAATTATCTTGTCAACACCATTCGAGTTTGAGCTGCACGAAATTGAACATCTGTTTTGGTTTGTCCTCGCTGCGCGTACACTATCATCAGAGAAACTTCGCAAACGATGCAATTGAATGTCTTCAAAGGGTTCAATGTCCTCTTTTTTATGATATTAAGATATAAAGAATATAATGAACAAGGAATGATGAAAGTGAATTAACTTCAAAAGTCACATTATTGTTCAAGAATTTTGATAGAATATTAAAGTACGAATATAACATGAATATACATCTATGTAATGTATTGTATTATCATATTCTTAAAACCTGTTTGTGCCTACTTTCAACTTAGTTTTTACTAAGTGATTTCTCAAGAAATAAAAAATCACACTCGAGGCTTAAAGATTAAGGCACAAAGATCAAATCGTCATAGATCATCGATATACCTATTGTTTGATCGGTATTAGCAGCGCCAATATGATTTTTAACTTTGTATAAACAGCAAAATGTTAAGTGATTGTATACGATAAATTATATTTATCTATCTAGCCTAAAAGTGTCAACTTCACTCGTCCCTATCACTCACTTTGGTATCTACGAACTTTTTGTCCTCGTCGGGAAAATTGAAAATTGGTTTAAAACCTCCTTCGAGTTGTGGTTTGAAATTTTCGATGTCGAATTCGCTAGTCGTGGCATAAGGAAGAGTTGTTGCCTCTGGAGATTCTGTTGTTGTCGTGTTCTTGTTTCGGACTACCACGGACCATCCTTGATTCATCGTATTTTCAATATTTAAACTAGCCTGAAAACATACTGATTAAAGTAAAATATTTTGTAATGTAACATAATAATGTGCTTAATTTAGCTTTTTTTTTAATAACTTTACAAAAAATGTATAAAAATAGCATATAAAACATATTAATTATTATATAATGAAGATATAATGTTTCCCATAGTGAAGTCTGCAGAATGCAACAAACCATTGGCACTGATATTCGTAGCCTACGAGAATACATTCGATACCATAAAGGTAGATTCAGACACATCAGTCACGTCTCGTCACAGTGATTGCTCCGAACCGCACAATCCGTCATACAAAATATTCTTTAATACAAATATGTTGCCGGTATTCACACTCATCAGTTGACAAACAGTTTCCCAGCTGTTAGATAGTTGATAGTTCTGTGACCAAATAGGACCGGTTCGGCGCCGAGACTATGACGGGACTGATGTGTCTGAATCGACCTTAAGCCATCAGAAAATGTTAAAAGCATTGACAGAATGGCGAATAAACCACCACTACACTAACATAATGAAATATATCTACCAAAATGCCACAGCTAGCTTAATGGTAAAATTACATTTACGAGTACTCGGATCCGAGTAGCTCGGATTTGAGTTACGAGTGAAACTGCGATCGTTTACATTAAATCCGAGCGATCAGAGTGGTTTCAAAGAGAATTTAAAAATGGCGCCATCAAGAAAGAAACGAGCTGCTGTTGCATTAGTGTTATTAAATATTTAAAGGAGAAAAATAACGACAAAAAATTAAGACAAAGAAAAGCATTTTCTTTTCATTTTTTTTTTCATTTCATTTTTCATCATTTTCAACAATATTGACAATATCATTTTAAAGTCGTCTACTTTAAAATGCATAATGTATGTCTGAATTGTCAATATAAATGAGTCAGATAAAATTAAATTATTAGAAGAATTTTTTCACTATGTAACAAAAAACAAAATTTGTTTAATTTACTGTTTGTATTTTGAGAACGATTTCCGAATTGGAAATTGAAACGTCAATAAACATATTTTTTCTTTTTATCTTCAAAAGAACGATAAATTGATCCATTTGATCTGCAGAAAATCTTAGTTCCGCCATTTTTAATTTGGAATTTCCACCACTTTGACGCTCACTCGTACAAGAGCTCGTACTGATACTCGGTTTGCGTTCAACTTCAATCCGAGCTCGGATCCGAGTAGACGTTTATACTTCCGAGTTGCACTCCGAGTAGAGTAACTCGGATCCGAGTACTCGTAAATGTAAAGCGGACTTAAGACTATCTGAACAAGAAACAAATAAATTCTGTATACAGCGAGGAGTACGGCAAGGAGACACTGTCTCTCCAAAGTTATTCACGACGCTTTTAGAACAAAGACTAATATAAACAGTACACAAATAAATGACTAATCTGGTGCTAAATCTAAATATTGCTGTTGATGGAAGGGGTATTGTGCAGACTACATCCTATAAGTACTTACGACATGAATTTCGGTTGGGCAGAGATAACCAGACGTGTGAGCTCCCACTTCGCATAGGACTAGCCTGGGTAGGTTTGGTAAATTAAACTGTGTATTTATATCGGATCTACCCATATGCCTCGCAAGGAAAACCTTTGACCAATGTGTATTACCTGTACTCACATATAGAGCGGAACCATTAACACTCACCAAAAAGATAGTTAATAAGATTTGCGTGACTCAAAGGCTATGGAGCGCCAGATGATGGGTGTATCTCTGAAAGATCGAATCCCAAACAAAGAAATACGTCATAGAAAAAAATAACAGACGCCATCGAAAAAACTGCGTCGTTAAAATGGAATTGGACAGGACACGTGGCCAGATTATCAGACAACCGATGGACAAAACGTTAGTTGTCCATCGTTGAGTTGAGTAATGGAGGAAGAGATGGAAATGCATTTGGTAGAATTAGACAGAATGTGTGATAGAAATATTTCAATGAACTGAGAAAACCAAGAAAGAGGAATAATGAATGCATGATATTGAAATGAGAATGATTGGATCGATGCATGAAATGACAAAGATAAAATTAAGAATGAGTATATTAAGGTATATAATTGGTGCCAAGGAATAAGTATATTAGGGTATATAATTGGTGCCAAGTTTGGAGAGCATAAGAGGATGGTTCGTGGATGTTCGACGGTGAGACGCTAATCAATCAATACGAAGGAGTATCTACAGAGTCGCAAGCCCTTATCCCTTGCCATACTGCTCCACCATAGGCCGATCAGACACCAGCATATTATAGTCTAAGCCGCAAATTCCTTTTTAGAATATTAAACTGCTGCGTTAGCCTTTTTTATTTTTCTGTACACTAAGCCAGGGCTAAACGCACATCCACTTAATCATTCGACAGTGAAGCGAATGAAAGTCGGCCGCCTGACCCGCTTGGCTATTTGACCGACTCAATGATTAAATACAAAAAGTATTTATTATTTCCGGAAACTTTACCTTGAATTCTTGTAACATGCTGTTTTTTACGGTGTCAGGGTGTTAACCCTACGCCCAACCCCCCAACCTGGAGGATCAGTTCTCCCGCTCTCGTCAGTTTCCGACCCGGGTTGGATACTGGATCTCTAGTTGGGTTGCTCGGTTTAACAGAGGACACGATTACTTGAGGAATCTAGGGGTCAGAAATTGGAAAACCAGGGCGAAAGATGGGGGAATAGAGACTAATTATTGAACAGGCTAAGACCCACCCAGGATTGTAGAGCCAAAGATGATGATGATTTATTATTTCTTCACGTTACCGTACAATAAAATTGTTAAACTCCAAACCAAATCTATAATAGCAAGATAGTCATTTGTTTTCTGTATGTATAGGTGCTGGCTATAACATAACAAAATCAGATTTCAAATCCTTATGAATATCAGGAACATGTGGAAAGTAAAATGAATTGGAAATTTTCGCACTTCTTCTCAAATATGAAATTTTTAATTTATGAGAGTTTACAATTTCCAAAATTTTGGCTATATAATGTATGTTCTTCTCAAATTTTGCTAACAGAAAAGAGTTTTTAAAATATCAGTATTTTCAGCAGTAGCTTAAGATTCTGAGTCACCATTTTTTGCTGCATCATAGGAAAACTTGATTCATCATCTGAAGAGTCTGCCACCTCTAAACTTCCGGAATCCGTTTCTGAATCACTTTCACCTGACTTGGTCTTTTTTCTGGAAGGGTCCTTTTATAGCATTTTGTGCTTAAAGCTTTACAAATATTTTCTTTCACTTTCTTGACTGCTGCTGTTTTGAGCGCTTTCTTTCCTTCCGTTTTATAAGAAAGGTTTTTTATTTCTTGTGTACTAGTTAAAATGACACTTTTCCTTGATTTCCGTCTACGATTTGAATTTTTTCTGTGTGTGGCCTTAGCAAAACCTCGTATGTCGAATGGAAATAAAAGGACTTTTTGATGTCGAAGGTATTTCAAGAGTTGAGTTTTGGTTGAGATTCTTGAGTTGTATTAGATGAAGTAGAAGATACAGATGCATTTTCTTCGTGATTGGTAGAATCTCTTAGTACAACCATAACTTTTTGTCCGTCATAATTTTCAAAATCATGAATATGTCTGTCAGTAACCGACGATAATAGAAAATCAGTTTCACTAAAAATAGATATTTTACGTATATTTGTTCCAAATTTAAGAAAAATCGGTCAACATTTGATTTCGTTAATGAAATAAACCTTGACAGTGAACATCCTTCTGGCCTTCTGCCCTTAATCAATCTTCGCTTGCACATTTGTTGGTCCTTCCAGATTCTAGCATACTGATATTATTTTTAGCAACAATTTTCATATGCAAATTATTTGACTTTTAGAGTATTAAACAAAAAGGTCATTTTGCTTGAATCTTCACGTCGTATAATGTTTACTATGTATATCAAAACAAACTACTGTATTGAGTATCCGTTGCAGCACTAGTGGCAATGTGGCGGCAAATTTGATGTAGTTAAAAACAGTGTTGTATTGTGTACTATGTGTCAATGTGTACAATTCTCCCCTATACATCATTCTACCAGTTGAATTCGTCAATGTTGGACTTATCAAAAGACAATTAGAATTTTTTTCGACTTTTTCAACAAATTTTCAACTCGATTTTACACATGTATATGTACACAAATTTTAAACATGTTGGTGGTTCGTTATAAATTATATAGTTACGAACCTATCGTGATAAATATACACATAGAGATACGAAAAAAGGAACTATGTGGGAAAAAAAAACAAAACTATACTATATCTATATGTATGTGTATATGATTGTAGGAGCGCAGATGTTTGTTCAAAAATAATTTAATCTTACCTGAAACGGCGCTTCGAAATCCAACTTTGGATAATCGGGTACGCTCAAATCGTTTTTATGATTAGAAGTTTCATCGATTCTATGTATATTATCAACGCTACTTACAATTCCAGATGGACTCTCATGATGAGCATGCATTACAGCGCTAACTGTAAACACTTTATTAGAATCGCCGGGCCTTATTTCGGGTATGACTGGAGATCCGTAATTTGGCATCGAATATTTGTCTACGATAGAATTCGGTTCCGTTGGTGTATAAGCAACAGCGATGGGTTTGTCGGTGTGGGTTTTGAGCGTTACGGATATTTGGTTTATACCTAGAAATAATTAAGGAAAATAATGGAATTATATCTTATTAACATTTTGTCTACTTAAATATTATTAAAGACTAATTGAAAAAAAAAATTAGTTAAACTAGACTTAGACTAAAAGTTAAAGACTAGTTGTAAACGATCAAAATATTTTTATGTAATTGATCCTATGGCAATATTAAAAATCTCGAAGAATAAATAACAGACCTCGCACAATAATCTCGAAAATAAATGTACCATTTAAATCCTACAGTCCATTTATTGAACGTAATTAAGCAAAAAATGGGTACTCAAAGCCCACTCAACAAATCCCAAATTATTTTCCAGTATACGTCAACTTAACGAATCAGATCTCACTCACAAATTTTGGATTAAAAAGGCATCTCCACCTTTGTGCACTGCCTTACAAAACAATTCTATTTTTTCAAAGAATTTGGCCAAAGTGGACAAAAATTTAGACTTCTTTGCTCTCTTCCATAAAACTTAAGTTATAATACCCACATATAGTGACAACAACAAATTGAGCAACAATATTCTGAGATCTGTTTTGAACTGTTATAGTGATGCAACAGTTATATACACGGATGCATCTAAATCAATAGAAGGGACTGGCTGTGCTTTTCTCTATCCTCAGGAGGTTCTGAATTTAAGTACAAACTTTTCAATGAGTTTTCAATTTTCTCGCGGAATCATTGGCCATACTCCAAGCTTTGAAATATTAAAAAATCGTTAATTCTTTCACTCTATTTCAGTTCTACAGAACATAAAAAAACACTTTTTTGCCTAAAACATTTAGTGATTCTTATATTTGTTTAATAAAGGATCAATTAAAGCACTTAGCAGACTCTGGCTTTAATATAAAATTTATTTGGGTTAAGGCACATACTGGACTCAAAGATAATCAATATGTAGATTACTTAGCTAAAACCAGTATAATATCAGGCACTTTATTGTCATATTCTTTATGTGTATCAGATGCCATTACGATTTTGAAAAAAAAAACAGCTATTGATATGGAAAGATCAATGAAATATTTACCGCTTTACAAACCAAACAAGATACACCACTGTACAACCAGTTATTCCACAAACTAGTTGGTTTAGGAATTTTAAATCTCCACGTAAATATGTAACCAGCATACATAGACTACGTTTTGGACATGCGTGTTATCCAAGCCATTTATATAAAATAAATGTAACTGAAGATGATAATTGCAAACATTGCGGAAAACTGGGTGATCTTGATCACATCTTTTTTCAATGTCCTAAGTTTCAACATCATTCAAACTCTCTCTACAAAAAATTAATCGAATTTAATATGTATGCACCATTCAATATCCAGTCGCTACTGGTTACAGGCTCACAACAAATATATAACATCATTATAGATTTCTTGTCAGGCACATGCACGGTTCTATAGAATTTGTACGCGAGCATGGAATTTTTCATGATGGTGTGGAAATTTAGATTTGTATCCTTTGTTTACCCTAAATGTTATAACACCTTATCCATGGTCCAGTTTTGTTTGTTTACTAAGAATGGGACTAGGGTACTTGATGGGACCCTAGACGAGAAGCAAGTGACCCTGTAAGTTTCCTTGTCGTATATTCTTCTATTAATTATCGGTTAGTTCTCTATTAGGGATAGAGTTGTGCATTTCTCTGATTTGAGATCTATTGCAACTGGCTGAATGACTAATGTCTATGTAATGAAATGCAAAACCTTTATAAACTAGGTTTTAATATACAAGAAATTAGCATTGTTTTGTTTGAATGAATAACATGACAATTACATATGACATTAACTAAAACTAAGATGACAAATGACAAACACAGTTCACAGACCACAGGACATTCACCCCAACTTTATTTTTGAACAAAGTCTTTAAGGTAAGCAGGAGTGTTTCTTTCCCTGGTACCTCTTCTAATAAGACTGTGTTTATTTTCTTCCTCTAAAACACTTTCAATATGACCTTGATCTTCCAGAATGTTAACAGGAGAAATATTTGGATTTTCCTCACATATACTCAATCTAGGGCTTGGTGGATCTTTGATAAACTGTTCATTAGAAACCGCAGATTCCGATCCACTAACACAGTCCAGAGATGCATCTCCTCGTGGTGCAAGTTGTCTTAAGGCTACTGTTGTTTCTTTACCATCTTCACGTCTAACAACAGCATAGTTTGGATTTGCTTCAATTAGCTGTACTTCTTCAACGAGGGGTTCATATTTGGACTGCCTCACATTTTTTTTCATAAATACTTTTCCGGGGGTTATCAACCATGAAGGAAGTGCAGCTCCATTTATAGCTTTTCTGGAATGATGAAACATTCGCTCATGAGGGGTACTGTTTGTAGATGTACACAAAAGAGAACGAATTGAATGAAGAGCTATCTCAACTACTTCTTCCCACTGTTCAGTTTTTAAATGTTTAGATTTTAATGCAAGAGAAATAGTTTTCCATATAATTCCATTATATCTTTCTGTCTGGCCATTTCCTTCAGGATTGTAAGATGTTGTTCGGCTTGTTGGTATTCCTTGTGAATGGAGAAATGTTTTGACTTCTTGAGACATAAATGCCCCCCCTTGGTCTGAATGGATATAACTAGGCATTCCAAATAAAGAGAATAAGTTTGTAAGACACTTCACAACAGTTTTCGCTGAAACATCTTGACATGGATATACAAAGGGGAATCGAGAATATTCATCAACAATTGTTAGGATATATTTGTTATGAGATCTAGATGGAAGCGGTCCTTTAAAATCCAGAGACAATCTTTCAAAAGGCGAAGTAGCTTTAATTAATCTCCCTTGAGTTTTCAAAAACTTTGGTTTTATTTCTGCACAGATAGGACAGCGATTGGTCATTTCACGGACTTCATCAATAGTATATGGTAAGTTGCGTGTCTTTATCCAATGGACCATTCTGGTGATTCCTGGATGACACAAGGATTGATGTAGTTCAAATAGACTTGGTCGAGGATTTATTGAACAGCTCACTCGTGAGAAAGTATCTGGCACTACATTCTCAACTCCTGGTCGGTACTGAATATCGAAACTGTAGCATGATAATTCAAGGCGCCATCTGATAATCTTCTCATTTTTTATCTTACTAGTGTGGCGCATATTGAACATAAAAGAGACAGACTTTTGATCAGTTATAAGTCGAAAATGTTTACCTATCAAGAAATGTCTCCATTTTCTAAGAGCTTCCACTATTGCATAAGCCTCTTTTTCCACTGATGAATGATTTCTTTCACTTTTTGATAAGGTTCTTGAAAAGAAAGCAACAGGTCTTCCTCCTTGGCTAAGAGAAGCAGCAATACAAAAATCTGAAGCATCAGATTCAACGATAAAAGGAATCTTGTCATCAATTGTAGTAACAGCTGAAGAAATAATTTCAGATTTAAGAATTTGGAAAGCTTCAGCTGCTTGTTCTGTTAAAGGAAAAGTATTGCATGTGACTAGTTTTTGTATCTTTTCTGAAAATTGTGGGATAAATTTGGAATAATGTGCAAACATTCCGACAGCTCTCTTTAGTGATTGTGAATCGTTTGGTAAGGGTAACTTCTTTAATGGTTCAAGTCTTTCAGGATCAGGTTTTAAGGTCTGATTTTCTATTTGATAACCCAAAAGTTTGATTGAATTTAGTGTATAAGAACTTTTATTTTGATTTATTGTTAGATTGTATTTCTTCGCTACTTCCATAAATTTATTAAGATTTTCATTATGTTGTTGTTGATTTAATCCACAAACCGTAATGTCATCAAGATATGCATACACACCTTTTAAATGTTCGGATTTAATAATACCATCGATAACCCTTTGAAAACAAGCCACTCCGTTGGTTACCCCAAAAGGAATCCGGCAAAATTGGTATAGTTGGCCGTTGGCTTCAAAAGCAGTGTATATTTTCTCTTCATTTTTAATTGGAATTTGATGGTATGCATTTTTAAGATCAATAGTACTGAAGACAGAATATCTTGCTACTTTTCTAACAATATCTTCAACATCTGGGAGAGGATAGGCATCTAAGTAAGTAAATTTATTAATTGTTTGTGAATAATCTACCACCATTCGCTTTTTGTGTGTTTCACTTTTTGTAATAAGTACTTGTGCACGCCAAGGAGAGTTGCTTTCTTCTATGATTCCATTCGATAGCAGATACTGTATCTCGTCAGATATGAATTTTCTATCTTCAGTTGAAAATTTTCTTGATTTAGTTGCCCTCGGTTTGCAATCATTTGATAGATTGGAGAATAATTTGGGTGGCTCTATATTTAAGTATGCCAAACTACAAATGTTATCTATATGATCAATAACTAAAGGCATTTTTGAGCCAGCAAAAGTGATTTCTAGAGAAGAATGTTGTTTAAGCAAGTCATGACCTATAACTACATCAGCACATAAATCTTGAATTATTGATAATTTGACATTTTTATATGAATGTTCGTTTATTTCTAAATTAACAAAGCAGTGTCCTGAGATAGTCGTTCTGAGTGCTGTTGAAGCCATTATTATGCTTGCATGACTTCTAAATGTTTTCACGTTTATAGACAATGCATAATTCTTACTGATATATGACTCAGAACTACCTGTGTCTATTAAACTTTCAGCTGTATTTCCATTCACCTTTATCTCAGTAACACTTTTAGATAAGCATTGAGGGGCAGCAGCAAGATTTCTAACATTCGAACTAGATGTAGTAGTAGCTAAAACAGCAGCTGATACTGAATTGGGCATCTGAAGCCTACATACCTTGGAAAAATGTCCAACTTTCGAGCATTTCTTACAAACTTTGTCTCTAGCAGGGCATAGGCTACGAGGATGCCTTTCAGTTGATCCACAAAAGTAACATTTCCAACTTTTCACAGCAGCAGAAGTATAATTAGTGTGCTCTCTGGTTTCAGAAGAAATTGCATTAATAATTTGTACAGGAGTTGTATAAGCCTCAGAGTGTTTTGAAGCTGACTCCAGAGACTGGGCTTTTACTATGGCATCTTGCAGAGTAATAGTGTTGTTTTCTAGTAAACGTTGTCTTATGTCATTAGAAAGAATGCCATTAATAAAAGAGTCTCTTATATAATCTTCTCTATTTTGGTCTGCAGAAACGGCTAGAAAATTACAGTCTTTGGAAAGCACTTTAAGATGTTGAACGTATTGACCTATATTTTCACCAGTTTGTTGTTTTTTTGTCATTAGGATATGTCTGGCAAAAATTTCATTTTTGGGTTTAACAAAAGCTGCTTCAAGAATACTTTTGGCTTCAGAATACTTTCTACAATCAGAGATGAGTTCATAGATATTGTTGCTCACGTAATTTACCAGTAGTTTGAATTTCTCCTCCTCTGAAACATCAATCACAGAGGAAATAAAGTTTTCAAAGGTAGCTTTCCAATGCATCCATTCTTGAGACGATCTAGGAGAGTTAGGATCAGCATCGAATCTGTCTGGTCGTAGTAGCTTATCCATATTTGATATTTCTTGTATATTAAATTGTAATGAAATGCAAAACCTTTATAAACTAGGTTTTAATATACAAGAAATTAGCATTGTTTTGTTTGAATGAATAACATGACAATTACATATGACATTAACTAAAACTAAGATGACAAATGACAAACACAGTTCACAGACCACAGGACAGTCTATACCATTAAAAAAATGTATTGAACATGCATGTTATAATAAGCTACTAAAGAAAGGTCACAATAATAGATAATGTGGTTTCGTTCGATTTCGTTCAGATCTCAATCGTTAAACTGTGGTACCGACACCGACTACTTGCGATTTTGGGCGAAAGTGTTTGCAATAATGGACTACCCATGCTCTGACGTCACAATGGGCGGGGCTTAGAAAACCTTTCCAAACATTTCTAATTCGTGTTTGTTTGCCCCATAAGAAATTGGAAATATTGGTTTTTTTAATTGTTTATTAAATCACTTCCATTGACAGGTCGCTATGGAATTGCTCAGATTAGAGTCTAATCTTCAAAACCTATAGGTAACCATTTTGAGTTTTGGCAAAAAATATGAGGCATTTGAAATATGTCTAAAAAACGCCAAATTTAAACTTTTTCATTATAAACGACCTCACGTCACGGGAAAAGCGGTGGAATTTATAGCTGAAGTTGTATAGTTTCGATAAACGTAATTGTGCAATAGATAAGAAGCAGTTTTAAATTTCTTACATCGTTTGTAATGTGAAAGTCTAAATTCAGAGTTTTTTAGGCATATTTTAAATGTAGAAAGTGGTGAAAATATGGAATTGACAAATTTTATTGACCTCATGACAATAATCGCGCAGCGTTAGGTACTTATTTAACAGCTTTATAGAAACTGACATCATTTGAACCTTTAAAACGCATTTTGGTTTTTGTCGATAGGACACTCTTATCATAAGATGTCGATTTTTTATCGTCAAGTTAATACAAATTTTATTTATTTAGATTCTTAGTAAATCGATGTTTTTTGTCCCTCCCTTGTAGGTAATAGGGGGTTTAAGGAAAAGTCCGGAGGTAGGACTAAACCAAACTTTTCTGGAGATAGGGATTTTTAGAGGTTCATTGGCATTTTCGTTTTTGACGACTGGGGTAATCCAATAAATTAGAGAAGAAAACGGAAGTAAACAAAAATAACCAACAACTAATAAAAGAAAAAGGAAACAAGAAGAAAAATATTCTAGAGCATATAAAAAAGTAAATGAATAAGGTAAATAATCTAGTAATACAAGTTTTGGCAATAGATACAGGCGATTAAAAATTACTTAATGATACAGCAACAAACCTTATGACGAAAGTTACATATCGTCGCCAAGATAAAAGAAGTAGAAAAACGTGCTGGAAATAAAACATATGTAGTAAAAACAGAAATTCGGAAAAAAGAGAACATAATATTTAACAAAAATAAACTCAAGCTCAAGCTAAATCTACATCAATGATCTAACTAAAAAAGACATGACAATTGAAGGGAGAAATACGAAATGAACCAGAGATTAAAAAATAATGGAAAACATGCAACGTAAGTGATACTTTTCATCTTTTTCTAATCTTTCTATTTCTTTAAATAGAGATAACTTATTTCTTTTCACTTGTTTAGTAGGCAATCCAACACACAGCTGTGTGTATGTGAGATTTTTTAAATCAGGTTCTATGGTCTGTTTTTTAACCAGGAGGAGTAATTCAAATTTTCCGCGCCGTAATGCTTGTTTGCAATTGGTCTAACCGCATGCAAGTTTACTCCACTAAATTATGACATATTGACACTAATGACATTTGTGAAATTTATTTATTATTAATATTTTCCTCTAATATATAAATCGATTTCTGACTGTTTAAGTTGTTTGTAATAACTTGGACTTGGTGATATGCGAATAGTATTTAATGTGATATTTTTCTAGATGATATTTATACTAAATATAGTTTAAAGTGTTTATAAATTTATAAATGTATGTTATTTATATCTAATTATCATAAGAAAAACGGCAACTATCTTTTAAATTTAGTGTTTACTTGTTAAGAAGCATTTCCATTTTGTTTTCATCGCAATAAAAGAACATTAGTAAAGTAATGTTGTGTTTTAGTTTGATTGTATGATACAGTTGGTTTTGTTCTTCCTGGTTGTAGATCATCACAAGAAAACTGCAAAATTATGCAAGAATGTAACATAATAGATTGGATTGTTGATTATCTCACAGAAATCCAGTATTAAAGAAATAGTAAGTACACACTTATTTATACAGAGTGTCTGGTAAGAAAAAAAACTAGATTCAAGAAATTGATCATACCAGAATAAGAATATGGTCTATTATTAAAAGACAAATTTCTGAGAAAAACCATACTTAGATCTGTAACATTATTGACTCTCCCGATCAAAATATTCTCTAAATTATATTTAAATACCATAGACTTAAGAGATCTATAAAACTGGATCACCCGATATCTAAATATATATACATGGGACCAAATATAAAAAACGTCCTTTTTTATCGTAATAATTAATATATTGTAATAATTATTATATGTAATATGTAATGTAATACTAATATATATTGGAAGTGAATTGAAAAAAATTATTTTATTATTCAAAATTCAAACATAAATAAACGAAGTTAGGTTAAAATTGACGTGTGAGGTTGTCCAATATTGATTACTCGATTACCGCAAGGCCGAGATAATCAACAAAAAAAAGAAGTTGTATTTGGTGACTTTTCTAGTAACTTTCTTGAGTGTGAATCTGTCTTTTTGGTTTACTCCTCCTGGTTAAAAAACAGAGTATAATATATTAGCGAGAATCACCTGTCAATAAGGCGATAATTCCATACGTCGATGACTTGATGTCTGATCGATCTTAATATATAACATCATAGTACATCTTATATACTAAAACGCTAAGCCCTTTTCTTGTCCACCACTTTACTCAAAAACTATATTAGATATTTAAAATATTTTTTCGGAATATTATTAGTATTACGTATGAGATTACCAAGATATACTTTTGGTACAAAAATTCACTTCCGGTTTTTAGATGACCGGAAGTTAAAATTTAATTTAAGTTTTAGACCCCACAATGTATATATGGATCGAAAGGTCTCGTCGAGACGAATCTAAATATTTACTTCCGGTTGCGATCCGACACCGGAAGTGACCCGAAACGCGCATAAAACGTCAAGATAGAGACAACTTTGTATCGAGACCTGAAGATGCTTTGCATATTGTAGAAAGCGAAACCGGTCGTCTGATAGTTAAATTAAATTGATTGTAAGTCTTATTTATTATTTCTTTACCTACTTATTAGTTTTATTTCGTCGCGAATTTTTATAATTCCCTTCTTCTTATTTCTCACATAGACGCCCATTAAAGGTGTCTCATTCCTCACAATCTGTGTTAAATCGACTTTCAACTTAAATTTGTTACATTGGCCTCAACGTGGCATTTTTTTTGTTAATAACACACAAAATAGTATACCAAAAGATAATGTAGATGCAAAATATAATAGAAATAGGGTGGAATAGGGCTAGAAATATATTGGAACAAACAAAACCAACATACTGACATAAACATGGAAATGGACATGAAAATGGCAAATAATATATCTAGCATTCATTAAAATAACCAATCCACGCTGAAGGTCATAAAGATTCAACTCGAAGAAGCAGAACAATAATATGTTGTTGTGATCTCTTAACAGGGCAAATAAGTGGACACTTACCAGTAATTTTTTGGCCAGTGATGATTTTTGGTTCATAAGTATCTCCAATACTGTTCCATTGATTGTTTGAAAAATAATCAGGCTCATCTAAGTCGTTTCCATTTTTTGAAGGAGCTTCCGGAACTGGCATTACATTAAGATTAGGTTCCAATCCCGGACGTTCTAGAGGATAAGGAAAATCAGACTTTACAGGAAATGGAGGAGGCTTATGTGGTTTTAAAATCGGATCGTCGTTTCTATCCTTGGTATCAAACAGCAAATCAAAGTCTTGGTTTATTTTAGATGGCGGCAAGGGACGTTCCGAACGAGTTCCTGAAATAAACAAAAGTAAAATGGATTCAATAGATCAATAGAGAAAATATATAATTACCAACTATAGTCTAACGATTTCTAGTAGTACATTACAAAAAAGATATTTTTACTAGCTTTTAACTATATCAAGTTTAGTAATTGATATAATATGATCCACTTGTTTTAGCGGATGATAGATATTATCAGTTGATCATTAACAAAAAGTATTGTTTTTACTTGTGTATGTTGATTGATTTGTTGATATAAAAAGCCACCAAGACATCTATTAAAAATCCGCTAACCAAGTTAAAAAATCAACAACCACTGCAGATGCAGATACATCAAGATATATATTGTGGATAAATTAGCATCTAGGGTTTAAAATCACAATAAGAGTTTTAAAACCTGCGAAAGAACTGATAGAGAGACAAAAAACAAACCCTAAAAAGGAATAAGAAATTGGAATCCACATGTAACACAGGACTTTCTTTCCTAAGCAAGATAATTACTTTCTCATATTAAATAAGGACTTCCTACCACAAAATTTTCTGTGGTACTCTCTTCGAATCAGTTCCTTAATGCGAAATTTTCAATTCAAACAATATACGCTTGGCAAATCCTCCCATTTCAGTTTCAGTGTAATTCCCCCATTGGTACAATCTAAGACCTCAATAGCACAGAGAGTCTATTCTTTTGTTTGTAGAGACCATAGTTTAATTTTAATACAAAATTTTAGATTCAGCCAATATACGATTGATAAATCCCTCACCCTCACGTCCCAAGAAAGCATTCACGAATGCAACGACGAAACATACCTTAATGATAAAAACGAAATTGTTAAATTAACGATTTTTTACGTGTGGTAACAAATCTAAAGTAAAAGAAAGCAGGCGATCCAGACGAAATCCCAAACGAGCAAATAAAACAAGGCACAGAAGAAATGCAACGAAAATTATACGATCTAATAAAGATTTGGTAAGAAGAAAGAATGCCCGAAGAATGGAAAACAGGGTGAATATTTCCTATTTTAAGGAAATGGGACACCACAAAATGTAACGACTATAGAGGAATAAAATTGTTAAACAGCTGCTACAAAATTAATCAGACAAACATTCTTAAAAATATTTAAAAGTAAAACTGGAACAAACCATGAAGTGGAGATATCCAGGAGTGGCTAGTATACCTGTTGAATACAAAGCACGTGGTGTTCGTGTGTATTAAGGTATAAAAAAAGCGCTTATTAAAAGCTTAAAATTTTTTATTATAAAGAAGATCTTTTCGGAATTGTATCATTCCATCATCAGTTTACTAAAAGAGAGAGTAAAAATACCAATATTAAAAACAACAAAGTTAAAATTTGAACATACAAAGAAAAAGTTGGTTTTTTTACTACTTACATAAAAAGTTGTTAAAAAACATTGTGTGGCCACATAAAAAAAACATTCGATGGACATCTGGATTTAAAAAATAATAATAGACTCTTGACTTAATACAATATAAAACTGACTGTAATATAAAAAATTGAAACTGGGGGCATCTTATATGACCCCTGTAGTTGGTGAGGTTTTTATTGACTTACATTACCTCTGATCTGTGTTGGAGTCTAGGGCTAACTGATAGAAAGATGGTATGAAAAATCAGTTAGTATCCGTCAATGTCAAGAGGAATGATGTGGTAGGAGCAAAGTCATTGTGCTTAAGTTTGTGAGTAGGCAGTTTTTAGTGAAGAAATGTGTTTTGTGTGTAGTAGGATCATTAGCAATTTTTTTTTGCTAATGAAAATTGCTAATGATCCTACTACACACACAAAACACATTTCCATAGATCCCTACCGGACAAGCGTAACGCCTAAAAAACCGGATCTATATATATATATATATATATATATATTTAATATATATATATATATATATATATATATATATATATATATATATATATATATATATATATATATATTTTTATATATATATAATAATATATATATGTATATATATATATATATATTTATATATATAATAATATATATTATATATATATATATATATATATATAAATATATATATATATATATATATATATATATATATATATATATATATATATATATATATATATAGGTCAACAATAAACACAATAAACATAATCACACAGTCAATTGGAAAGTGTTACGAACATGATATCGGCTTAGACATCCTTTTCCTAGATTTCAAGCAAGCATTTGACAGTCTGATAAGACCCGACCTAACAGAAGACCTAAAAAACCTAGATATCCCAATGAAACTCATAAAGCTTACGAAAATAATAACCGAGGGATCAACGGCAGCAATAATATCAGATGGCAGCATCTCCAAAATATAGAAATAGCAACTGGAGTACGACAGGGCGACTCTCTATCAACGTCATTATTTAACGTCGCTATAGAAGAAACAATAAGAGGTACTGTTACTGAAATGAAAGGTACAGTTATAACATCGACGTCGCAACTTGTGACGTATGCTGACGACATAGCACTGATTAGTAGAAACCTAAAGAGTTTAAATGAAGAATTTGCGAAGTTGTGCAATGAAGCACCCAAGAAGGGTTTGGCAATAAATCAAAATAAAACAAAATACCTAATATGCTCAAGAAAAAGTACAGCTAATATGACAAGGTTAAATATTGGGGAATATAAGTTTGAAAAGGAAGAACACTTTAAGTATCTTGGAGTCCCCGTTAATGAAACTAATGAAAGAAGTATAGTAATCAATGAAAGAATTCTGGCAGGAAACAGAACTTACTGGAAATACAACAATTTCCTCAAAGATAAGAAGCTAACTCATCAAATTTACAGCAATTAGACTAGTAATCACATATGGTGCTGAAGTAATGTGCCTGACACAGAAGGATAAAGAAAGAGTGAGGATCTTAGAGCGAAAAATCATTGGGAGAATATGAGGCCTACTAACCTAAGGTAATAATGAATTTAGAAAACTAATGAACCATGAAGTAAAGGAACGTTTGAAAGGAGAAGACATAGTCAGATTTATCAAATAGACTTAGATGAATGGAACATCTAGAAAGAAGAAATCCAGAAGCAGTTATCAAGAAAATGACTAATTGGTGACCAGTATTGGACAGACTACGAGGAAGACCGAAGACGAGATGAAAGAAGCAGATAATTGCGAATTTTAATAAGATGGGAGTTAGATTTTTGAAAAACCATAAATAAAAACAGGAAAGAATGGAGAAATATTGTAGGAGACGCCAATTCACACAACCAAATGTAAAAGCAAAATGATAATGCGGACTTATTTACCGCGACAAATGAATCGGAAGAGTTCTAAGAGGGCGGAAATCACTCTGCTAGGAGTGTAGATGCCATGATGAAATCCCCCACCCTAGAGGCAAAATATTCTCCAAATTCTTGCCAAAAACATCAGATATGCTGATGGTACAGCTATAATAGCCAACAATTGGAAAAACCTCCAGAGACTATTTGACAAAGTATCTATCGTTCGTATGACGCTCAGTTTACGTGTTAATACAAGGAAACCCAAAATGATGGTTGTTTCAAAAAAAGTTAACAATTGCGAACAATTAGTTTTTAATAGACAGGTAATTGAGCATGTTTAACCATTGTCAATGAGAACCAACAATCAGAAGAAATTCATCCACGCATTGAACAACCACTAGCTACGTTCGACAAAATGAAAAAACTGTTGATAGTACTGTATCTTTCTATGACTCTAGAAAACAGAATGATTAGGTGTTATGTGTTTCCCATACTTCAATAAGATGTGAAAAACTGAACACAAAATAAGGAACTCCTTAAAATATAGAGACCTTTGAAATGTGTCCAGTACTGGAAAGACTGAATATTAAACCTGAAATTATATATACTATAAAAAAGCGGATATTGACCAAGAATAATAAAGCAGTAAGTTTATTCCGCAATAAGACAGTTAAAGGATGGCAAAGCAGCAGGTCCTGATAATATACAAGCAGAACTACTCAAACTAATGGAACGAATCAATAGCAATAATCGCAAAAATATTCAACAACATATACAACTCTGGAGAAATACCAACAGAATGGCTGAAATCTGAGTTTATTGCATTCCAAAGAAAAACAGGAGCCAAAAATGTGAAGATTACCGTACTATAAGCCTCATGAGTCATCTCCTAAAATTGTTCTTAAAGATAATTCATAAGAGAATCTACAAGCTCTGTGAAAGTCAAATTTCCCCCAACCAATTCGGGTACACAAATGCTGTTGGTACTAGAGAGGCTTTGTTCTCAGTACAAGTCTTATTCCAGAGATGCGGAGACGTCAACTGCGACGTATACGCATGTCTGGTTGACTGATGATGATGCAAATACTAAAAGAAGCATAAATTAACAACCAAGATCTGAAAATAATTAGAAATCTTTACTGGAATCAGACAGAAAATCTCAGAGTTAAAGGTGAATCACACTGACTATGTGTGAAAATCATGCGTGGAGTGAGGCAAGGCTGTATTTTGTCTCCTCTAATCTTCAATCTGTATTTTGAAAGAATATTTATCGAAGTTTTGCACGAAACTGAAAAAGGTATTCTACTAAATGGTTACCGGCTTAACAACATCAGATATGCAGATGACACCATAGTATTTGCGGACAACTTAGAAGACCTACAAGTTCTTATGAATAAAATCACGTATTACAGTCAACAATATGGACTCAATATAAACGTTAAGACAAAGCTTATGATAATTAGCAAGAAAAAGATAACAGAAGGTCAACTCTAGGTCAACCAATCTCCTGTAGAAAGAGTGATGCAGTACAACTGCCTCGGCACCATAATAAATGAAGAATTGTGAAGAATTGACTTCGTCAAGAGTCACAACGTCTCTCTTGATAGATAAGTAAGAATGCTGCGATGCTACGTCTTCTCTGTCCTTTTATATGGTGTTGAATCGTGGACCTTGAACGAAGATATGTTCAAAAAACTGGAAGCATTTGAGATGTGGCTAAATTGAAGAATACTTGTGATCCCGTGGACTGACCGAGTCACAAATAGGAGGTCATTAGAGGAATGAATAATAACCGAGAGGTACTGACCACCATTAAATCTCGAAAGTTACAATTCTTCGGATATATTATGCGAAATGAATCCAGATATGTTCTGCTTTAAGCCATCCTGCAAGGAAAAATATTTGGAAAGCGAGATCCAGGAAGAAGAAGAACATCTTGGTTAAAGTACCTCAGAATCTGGTTCAATACAACATCTGTGCAGCTTTTCCGCGCTACTGCAGATAATATAAAGATTGCCAAGATGATCGCCAACATTCGTAACGGATAGGCACATCAAGAAGAAGATAAAAAAGAGAAAACTTGAATTCATTGACCACGTCTCTAGAGACATACGATATGAGTTTCTACGACGTATAATGCTAGGAAATGTAAGAAGATAAGATAAGCTCTCCCACTTGCGATTATCAGACATAGACAGTGATTTGTAGATATAGTTCTGATGAACATATTGTAACGGACAAGCTAATTTTGACGTACTCCATATAACAGTTGCATCTCTTAGAACGATGATACGTATTCGAGAATCTTCAAAATGTATTCACCGGTTTACAGAGCAAGGCGTCCACACAAGCGAGTTAGTTTTAGTTAGTTTATAACGATACATTTTTGGCAAAGTAACGTAAGTGACATTTTTGGCGAAAATCATGTTTTTCAATTAAACTGACACTATTATTGTTAAAAAGGTACTGCCAAAGTGTAGTAAGCCTAGAATTAATTTAAACCTTTTTTAGGACAAGTAGGACAAGTTTTTTTAGTCATAATTTAAATAAGTTTTAATAACCAGGTTTAATTAAAAAATTGTTTTTTCTACAAATTGTTTTTGGTGACTTACGTTACTTTGCCAAAAATGTATCGATAAAGATGATATCTTGTTCTAGATGATATCGTGTCTTGTTGATAACAAATGTATTCACCGGTTTACAGAGCAAGGCGTCCATACAAGCAAGTTAGTTTTAGTTAGTTTATTACGATACATTTTTGGCAAAGTAACGTAAGTGACATTTTTGGCGAAAATCATGTTTTTTCAATTAAACTGACACTATTATTGTTAAAAAGGTACTGCCAAAGTGTAGTAAGCCTAGAATTAATTTAAACCTTTTTAGGACAAGTAGGACAAGTTTTTTTAGTCATAATTTAAATAAGTTTAATAACCAGGTTTAATTAAAAAATTGTTTTTTCTACAAATAGTTTTTGGTGACTTACGTTACTTTGCCAAAAATGTATCGATAAGATGATATCTTGTTCTAGATGATATCGTGTCTTGTTGATAACAAATGTATTCACCGGTTTACAGAGCAAGGCGTCCATACAAGCAAGTTAGTTTTAGTTAGTTTATAACGATACATTTTTGGCAAAGTAACGTAAGTGACATTTTTGGGCGAAAATCATGTTTTTCAATTAAACTGACACTATTATTGTTAAAAGGTACTGCCAAAGTGTAGTAAGCCTAGAATTAATTTAAACCTTTTTTAGGACAAGTAGGACAAGTTTTTTTAGTCATAATTTAAATAAGTTTAATAACCAGGTTTAATTAAAAAATTGTTTTTTCTACAAATAGTTTTTGGTGACTTACGTTACTCTTGCCAAAATGTATCGATAAGATGATATCTTGTTCTAGATGATATCGTGTCTTGTTGATAACAAACGTTTAAACCAATGTGTAACCAATGTTTAACCAACTGACTCTCAGAGACAGCCTTAGAAACGAGGAAAATAGGAAGGACAGGCATTACAGACGTTACAGAGTACACAACATGGCTGAAGTGAAACTGAGCGGGCGCCATGTGGACGGAATAAATGGCGGATCGTGGACCAGAAAAATTACGGAGTGAAAACAATGTAGACAGGAAAAGCAGAGGTAGACCATCTACACGATGAACAAATGACACCAAAAGAATCGCTGGAAATTCCTACAAAAAGCTCAAGAGCAACAGTACTGGAAGAAATTAGAGGAGACCTATGTTCAACTTTTTTAACTTTCAACGCAGAACGTTTAAACAATGATGATGATGAAATCCTCCCATTTCAGTACAGTCCAATCCCTGTATTGGTACAATTTAAGATCTAATGGCACACTGGATCTATTTCTGTTGTTTTTAAAGACTATAGTTCAATATAACCGTTGTGCAACATAGAAATTTAGTCGCATTTAGACTCATTCTTATCAAATTTCCTATAAATATTAAATACTTAAAACTTCAAAAAAACTGTTTAAACTAAAAGTAGGTAATTGTCGATTCGGATAGATTAACAACTATTCTTTAACTAAAAGTGATGTTACGTAGGAATCGGTGCTTGGTAACATGGATTTAGAATGTATGAGTGATAGCAGCTAGCACACGAGAAAAACATGAAATGATTAAAAAACACCTGTATTAGTAAAAAATATCAGAGTGTATTTCGATTAATTAATGACATGAACGACAGTTGTACGGGTTACCGTTAATATATTTAAGCAGAGCAGCAAACCGTTAAAATGTTTAATACTTTCTACTTACCTATCACCACACTTTCTTTTTTGTTGCTGTCATCGATTACATCTAATTTTATTGGAGCAGAATTTACTGGATACACCTTATATATGGTTTTGTCATTATTGTCGATTTTAATATCTTTTTCGGGTTGAATATTTACAACGGGCTGAAAACCAGGGGGATCTTTGTTCCTCTTATCAGCGTTTTTCGCTTGAATCATTTGTAGAGTCTCCACTTCGGTAACATCAGTATCGGCTCTTCTATTGGCTATTTTGATTTGCGGTGGCGTCTGATACAAACCGGGTTGATCATCGCTTCCTTTTTCTTCAGGTGGATTATCTGCAGTTAAAATAATAATGGAAACATAAGATTACTGCATGATCCTTTGAATTAAGGATATTAGTATTATTAAGGAAATAATAAGAACTAAGGTAGTTTTTCTGAAGTTAATATTGATTACATATTTTACTGATAAAATTGAAAATTTCATTTAAAAGTTACGGTATTCTTGTATTTTTCGAAGAAAAATTATAAAAATAAATAAAATGTATAATAAACTTTGTTATACAGCGAATTTAAATTTTATGATCAAATGATTGCAAATTTTGCCTTTCAATTCTTTCGCTTCTGTTTAAATTTGACATTAGATTTTCATGTACTATTGTAATTGAAGAGTGTTGTCTGTGGCAAAAAGATTCTGTGTCTTATGCCATCTCTCTCTCCACATACACACAATTGAAAAGTGGAAGTTTCAAAGGTGCTGAGTGCCAAAACTTTTGATTTTGAGTTATTGCCATAGAAAGGTTGTATGTGGCTTGCTCTACGTCCTAACAAAGGCGCTAGGTGCCATTTCTAATACTAAACCTTGTATAGGGACTGTTGGCAGGAGGTTTGTAACATAACCTATCATGTTGCACTCTGTCTTATTTTATATATTATTTTATTTTTGGGTGATTTGTAAGTGCAAATTTAATTGTACATCTATTAGTTATCGCTCAAGAAAATCCTTGTTTGAAAAGTTTCACCGAGAGAACACCAAAACTCAAGGTACTTATCTGATGGATCTTATACAACTCCTGCAGGTTAGGAGGCAACCGCATGGTACCTATGAGGTTCCGGAAGATAGTAGACGTCAAACAACAGTAAGCTACACCCTACCCAGTGAAGATTAAGCCTTTGCTCAGGTGGTCAGGTGCTCAGGAATACATTCATGAATATCTTTGCTGTAACGTGGAAAAAGCTGGAAGTTCTTGTAAATAAAAAGAAACTTGGCGAAACTTCTTTGTCAGATAATAGGTCGTCTCATAAAAAATCTCTATATTCTGAAGATGATAGCTGTGCTATAAAAGACCACATTAATTCGATACCCCGCTATGTTGGTCATTATACGAGGGCAAAGTCCAGTAAAGAATATCTAAGCCCGGACGTGAATATTAATAGACTGTCCAGAGCTTATCAAGAGCAATATCCAGATACTAAAATAACTTATAAATCCTATATAAATCCCAAGATACAATAGATTCTATAATATATACTGTATATATTAGATACATAGATATAATAGATATCTAATAGAAATACGAAAAAAACTATGAAAGCATTCGTGTCGGAAGATTTGATCAACGACATGAATAGCTTTGGTTTTTGAAACATCAAAGGGGTTGCTGAGAAAACATTAAATACCATTAAGCTACAAATTAGAAAATCAGTTTCATTTTCAGTTTTTCAAAACTTTTCATGAATCATGGCATGAAACCAACATTTTAAAAAAGAACAAGACGCGAAAAGAATTGAAAAAAAAAATTAAATTAGTGATAATGGAACCCAAAAACAAAGTATCAGCGAACAAGAAGAGCTTTCACTCTATGGTACCATACGTCAACAATCCTCAGCACCAACAGTTCTACAAAAATTTTGAGAAACAGGAACAATTTTGACTCTAGAAATAATTCGCACCACCAAATTAAAATTTAAGAATAATAAATAAAGAAAGGGGAAAAGAACTAAAAGGCAATTATAGACTTATTTTTATTTTATTGCCTTTCTACCGGTCCTATCCAAAATTATTGAGAGGCTTATAAAAGCCCGATTTATGTCCTTTCTCGTTGAAAATAACATTTTATCACATGGTCAGTTTGGTCTTTTATCTAATAAATGTACCAGTAATGCTATGTTTTCTGTACTACATGAGCTCTATCAAGCACTAAACGATACGATAATCTTTATACTGCCACTGTTTTTTGTGATAGCCAAAGCTTGATTGTGTAAATCACGACATTTTGATAAAAAACTAAACTTTTACGGAATTTGAGGTATTTCTTTAAATTGATTCCAATCTTACTTAAGGAATACGAAATAACTAGTTAGATCAAATGATACTGAATCTAGTCACAAAAGCATTGTATTTGGAGTACCACAAGGTACAATACTGCGTCCTCTATTTTTCCTTACTTTATAAATGACATTACTAATTTAAAAATCGCTAAAAACATTGTTCTTTTTGTTGATGCTACAAGTATTACCTGGAGTATCTCTAATATTGCAACTCTTCATGCAAACTTCTGATCTACTTAAAATAAAAACCTTGTCCGATTTTAATTAACTCTCTTTTAACGTGGATAAGACAGTAGCATTATCCTGTAAAGTAGCATTATCCTGTAAAGGATAATGCTATCCTCTTTTCACCCTTGCTTCTTAATAACAGCCAGATCAGTATCGTTGATTCTGTAAAATTCTTGGTATTTTTAGACAGCAACCCCTTAAAATGGCCCCCTTATATCGATTTGTTAAGTAAGAAACTAGCCTCAGCCTGCTGAGCAATAAGATCTGTTTCGAAGGAAATCAATTATGCATCTTCCAAAATAAGATACTTTTTTTGTTCGAGTCTCATCTTCGATATGGCCTTCCTTTTTATGGTTCTAGTATAGCTGCCCAATCTGATGTTATTTTTAAATTACAAAAAGAGCAATACTGTATCTTTTTTATATTTTAACTTTTCTCTTTCTATATATTCTAGAAACTGTTTGCTTAATTCGTAAACACTTACATGTTTTTCCAGCAAGACCTAATCATGACTATTCCACCAGAAATTCAAGCTTTGATGTACCGATCTCATCCACTGAGTTAGAAAAGAAATCTATATTATATTCGGCAAAAAATTGTACAACCATCTCCCTTTTCAACTTAAATCTATAACTACTTACCTTAAGTTCCGTAAATTGACAAAAGCCAATCTATCTGAAAGACCTTATTATTTAGTGGAAGAGTTTCTTAACGAATAACTAAGAAATTACAGTACGTTTAGGCACAAGCAACAAAAAATTTTATACAGGGTGGTCCTTAAGTAATTGTACAAAAAGCAACAGTAGATTCTACACTTTAGAATATTAGGATTTAAGCCAAATTGCTTTAATAAAATGTTGATATTAAAAAAGATACAGGGCGTTAAGTGCAAATTTAAAATGTTATTTTTATAACTTTCATGTTTGCAAATCCATTTTATGTATAAACACATTTTGACGTAGCTGTTAGAGGGCGCCACATATGTGGCATAAATTTGCACTTAACTTTTTTGCTCTTTAAGTTACCTGTATTTGTGATAAAAATATTAAAGATACATTATTTTAACAAAAAAAAAGTTATATCTGTTAATAACTTCAAAACTCAACAGTTTTAAAGATATAATCACATTTTACAAATCAGCTGCATAATTCTGATTTAAGGCAATTACTCCAGGCAACGAAGAAAAATAGACAAAACATTAATACTTCTGAATTTTGGTATAAAATACCTTAACTAAAGTTAATAGTTAAAGAAATATTAAATAAAATAATTATATTAGCAGGATAATTAATAATAGGATTTGACAAAATAACAGAAAAGTAGGATTTTACATCAACCATATTACGTTTTATGTTAAGTTAAAGTCATAATCAAAACAATTTGTTTACAAAAAAAATTAAGAAATAGTTAAAATAAATAACATAACTTTTTGTCAAAGGAAGTGTTCGATATTCTCCACCATTTTCGCTCATTCATTTGTCAATATATTCAATAAAAAGATCGTCTCATATTAAATAGCATCATTGGGTCTAAAGAAAATATTCGCAACCATAGTTAGTTGCGAATATTTATAGGATTTTTATAGAATAAATTCTGGACTACGTGGTGGCTATAATGAATAATGAATACATATATTCTTTTGGATACATATCCAAATCTTATGGTATATTATGGAACTACAATTTATTTGTTGCAGAGGTTAAATAATGTATTAAACTGTGATGTATCTCGTTCATTGAATAACGAACTAATATTATGCTGAACTAAATTGTCTGTGTGTTTACTATATTTATAACAATATCGGTTATTAGGCCAACGATGATGTTTTTGTAAAAATGTTGAGTCTTTAAGGTTATATTTGTAACAAAAGTATTATGAAATAATACTTTTGAAACAAATAAGACACATGTGTGTTATTTCAATACCTGTGTGTTGAAAGTACCTCACCAGAAAGAGTAATCTCACCACATTGCCAGGAATATGACTACCACAACCATTCAAAGTTCAGAAAAGTTGTATTTAAGTATGTTCTCACTGTCGTCTCTCTAGAATATGGTGGTGTACCATCTTGAATAAACCACGTATTTTGAGTTTTCAGCATTTAACAATAGAGAAAAAGTAATACAACGCCAGTATAGAAAAAAAGCGATAGAAAAGGGAAATTGTAAACATGATGATGGTCAACGACTGAATACGGACACGGCACCTAAAGAAGAAGATAAAGAATCTTTTCCCTAATAAGACATTTAGCAGCCATAACAAAGCATGTGGTGATGTGATATTAGCATCTTTAAGTTGTTTTAATATGAATAAACTATGAATTATGCTTAGGTATCTACAGATATTCAGTGCTTTATCACCACTAAGAATTATTATCCAGCTAACTTATAAAATGTAATTATCTCAAAAACGGTTGAATTTTGAGATTACTAATCAGTATACCTTTTCTTTGTAAAAATAATGTATCTTTAATATCTATCAGTTACATTAAAGTATGTATTAAAATTATAATTTGTCCTACTCATAAGCATCCAATCGTAAATTTTTGTCCAAAAATATTTACAAACGTAAAAGTGATGGCGAAAAATAAAAATTTTAAATTTCCACCTTAACACCCTGTATCTTTCTTAATATCAACATTTTATTAATATAGAATCTACGGTTTCCTGTTTGTACAATTACTTAAGGACCACCTTGTATATATTTGGGTATCACATGCAGCAGCTTAAACTTATTCGTAAACTAGTTCGTAAGTTTTTATTATGCAATTTGCAATT